ATACATACAGTACAGACTGAGACAGTATTTACAGCTAAAATTATCTAAGAATTTCTATCTAATAATAATTTACCTAATCCAGACCTGAAATTCTGTTGATAAAACTTGATTCCTCAGGTCTCTATAGAATTTCGTACCTATGATTTTGTACAAACAAATAAGCAACTGGCGCATTAGGCGCAGAAAGACTCGAGGTTGATTATTTCTTACGAATCCCGTTATTGTCTAATTATTATTGTATTATTTATTGATTCAGTTTAGTTTGCTGCTTTTCTCAAGGATTAGAAGCGCAAAAGGTAGCTAGAACTCTGTGTCCGCGAGTGCAACACAATTATTGAAAACAGTCAAGAGATACACAGACATCATTATAATTTCTTTAATCTGGATGTACAGTGAATACCAAAAGTATTTGCATGCACACAACCAAATCGTTTAATAATAAATAAGTAGGTGTACTTGTTGAATGAAAGAAAATGTATACAATGACATAAGAAACTAGTTAATTGTGCGAATAAATTTCTTACCAGTCATCGAGCATATGTGTGCGCGTATGTAGGTACCTCTGTACATTTTGTTTTTCTTGTTTTCGTGTGTTTTCTTTTCATTGTCGACAGAACGTTGACTGCCGACTTGAAATTTGACAATTTTTCGTTACATCGATCCCTCTATTCGTTATACGTACATATCTGTTGTTATGTATATGTATTACGCGTTACATCGACAAGATATTCATTCGTTCTTCGAGTCGTCGTGCAAAACTTGATTGTGAGAGAGAGAGAGAAACTACATATAGAGGGAATTTAATGAGGAAGGTCTCCCGTATTTTTCGAAATAGCATACGATAATTTCGGGTTACGTTCACGCAATTCGCCGTATTTTATAATGATTTGTGCTGCCGTTTATTTTTTGAGGTATACGTGTAAGTATGTATACGGAAATGCTAAAAGAAAGTTCGATATCGAGAACGACAATACTGCTCGTCCCATGACACAGCTATCTATTATACATACATATACATATGCATACACAATATAATAAGTACATACATACATAAAATGTTGCGCGTGCCTCAGGTATCATGCGGTAAAATGTTGAGCAATTTCTTGTTTCTTTGTATCGCGGCGCGTGGTTGACAGTTCATAGAAGCTAGCAGAGTTGCTATTACATAAGTTTCGTACATACATATATACATATATTCCTTTTCTAAAAGATACCCGAGACTATCGATCAATTTTAATATTGTACATGTATATATGTATACAACAAGCAGATTAATTTCAAACTAACAGAAAGAAGAAGAAAACAAGTTTCCTATGTCTGAATGAAGCACAAGTCGATCAGTTTCATTTGCTTAAAGACTTAAGCGATTAAATGATGTTTCAACTTCAAGAAAAATGAAAAGTTGAATTTCTCGAACATGAAACCCGCAAGAGTCACTTTTAAAAGTTAATTCTTCAAATAATAAATTCGTCTTTCGTATCCAGCGTCTGTGATAAATTGTGCTGGGATCTGCTCAATTTGTACAAATAATACGTTAATACGTTTCTTTCGGCAACAGCTCCAATCCAAGGACGTCAACAATACCCCCGTTGTAAATATACATTCAAGAATCGCTTGGTCTATTCACATTCACCGATTACGTTCGGTACATTTTCGAGACTTCGAGTCGTTGTAAGTCGTAAATCGCGTAACATTCAAGCTATAAAGTACTACTACTACATACGTATGTGATGTATATACATACATACATACATACATACACACACACACACACACCAGTGTCCGATCCAGAGGGGAGGCGCCCATTGTTTATAGTAGTATTTTAACAATTTATTCCAAAGAAAGAAATGAAATCGTGGTCCACCCCTACGTCCCGCCCCACCCCGCACGAATAACCCTGGATTGCCCTTGACACACACACACACACACACCACACAAACGCACCGTAGTGTAGTCTCCTTTGTACAATTAAGAATTTGCGTTTCTAGATTTCTATTTTTCTTTTGTTATTGATTCCTAGTGTACGAAACGTTTTGTTGTTCGATACGCGTACATAAATACATACATACATATATTCTGTGTCATCATAGTCGTAGCGACTGAACAACACGGACTTGGCGTTCTATAGTGGTCGTAGTTGTCTCTCTGAACGTATCGCGCCTGCGGTGATATGGTTCGCTTTTATATGTATGGTCCGTAAATTCCGTGTTCAACGCAGCAGATAGTGTACTTAATAAGGCCCTATATGTATGTACAGAGATGTAAGAAGAGTTTTTGTTACGGCGATGACACCGTAAAATGACTTAAAACGTTGAAATGTGTCGCATGTGTCGCAAATGAATCGTGACACCACGCTTTCCTAGTCGACAAAAACTTTCACGTTTAATTTCGAAACAAATACACTCTTTTTACATCGTAGTACGTCCAAAGATTGATATACATAGTAAACGTTCGGCAGTAACGATGCGATAAACGCGTGAGAATCGTTCGTGAATAATTCAATTATTATTACTATTACCTTCAACATTTCATTCCCCTTGCATATCCTTGCACTGTGAATAGAATTCTCGTCGATCCCGTTTCAATGTTTCGTTGGTTTATAATCGTTAATCAGCTTGAGCCGTGGCCGGTTCAATTTCATCATTTCTAGAATGACAATCTTTTCATCGTATATTACGTGATACAATGATGTTTCCCGAAGCCATTCGTAAAAGACTACAGATAAAAAAATTCAATCCAAGTGCACAAAGCACAATAAAATCAATATTTAAGGTGACACGCCGAGTTCAAACACCCTACATATACATACAATATTTGCATTCACCCCAAAGAGCTCATCATTTAACACGCGTATGCAACCATCATGCGATCTCTATCGCGACAACGAGAATACAACATGTATCCTACAATCACGTAAATCACTGATAAAAACGCACAAGCGGCGTTCGAAAAATCTATATACAAAATTAATTGTACGCGTGGTATGTTAGTCACACCTATGATATACTTCGGCGACTTTTTCCCTTTCTGTTGGAATGACGGTCAGTGGTGAACCTTTCAGAGGACGGTTTTACTTTCCACTCGAGTCGATTCGAATTATATGTATGTAAAGAATTTTTGCAAATTGTTCGATTCGATGCAAACGCTGTTCGTTGAGCGCGTGCCGAATGACAATCCAAACTGTATACAATATGTATATGTTCAGCATGTCCAGTGTGTGGACATGTATGCACACAAACACACACACACACACACGCACGCACGCACACTAAATTATTTACACTGAAATTCGGCGTCGTCATCGGATCGAAATGATTTTCGAACGACTCTTATATGTATGTACATTTATTGAAACGAAATTCCACCTAAAAGTCAGTACGGTGATTCTGTACTTGTTTAATGTTTCGATGCTATATCCAGATAATAACAACGAAAGAGCCGTACGTATATAGAAAATTGTAAAATACACGATCTAAATTGTTCTAAATAGAACGTGGAAGGAACTTGAATAATGCTTGTATACAGTGTATTAAACACGATTCACAAAAAATGCGATAACACAAGTCTCGTCGGAACGCATTCTATTTTCTTCGGAAACGTCTGTTCCGTAGGCACAGGTATATACTTATATCCATTCTCAACCAACGCTCGAAAGAAACTAATCATCGTTCCATCTGTAGCTATTCATACCTCATCCAACGAATGGAAACAGTAACTATTTATAAACAAAAGGAGGTACATATTGCCCATTTATATACATATGTAGGAAAAGGTCAGAGACCGCTGCCAGCCAACAGCTGGGATTAGCACGCGAATGTTTTCATTGTTTTTACTGATTCGTCTCGATGGATGAGATATATATAATAATAAAAGTTTAGCTAAGCTCAAGCAGCTATTAGTTACACACACTTGAATCAACCAAAGGAAATATATATTTCTTATCTTTTTCTTTTCCTTAATATTTCGACTTTGATTACTTTTCTCTAGACGTACATCCACAAACAGACGAAAGTTTCTACGTACCGGCTACTTCTTAAACTGTGTAAATATGTACATGAACAGTTCTTGTAGTTGCAGTTACATATGTATGTAGAAATCAATTTGCGCTTTCCTACTGGAAATTTCAAAGATTTTTAGATACACAGATTCTATGGAAAGCTGTTTTTCAGAGCCTACGATTAAAAAAATACGCAACATACATACGATACATTAGTTAAATTTCTTCGAGTATTCGAAGGAAAGCGAATTATATAAATGATAATAAATACACTTGTAAATATGTGTACCACATTAATAAATAATCTATAAAATTGTATACAATCCGCATAAAAAGCTAATTGAATAAACTTTGTACATATTATCGATATTGTGTAAAACTGATAAAAACACTCGATTCTTTAATATAATACATTAGAACGTAGTGCATTCAAATGGAAAAACTCATTGCACTATACGACATTTGAACACTCGAATTAACTGCAATATTATGAAATATAACAATACAATATGTATATATACGTGTATAAGAATTGATTGGAAAATTTTCAGCTTAAATATGTCGGCAAGAATGATGAAAAAACAAGTTAAGCGTAACAGTATTGTCTGGAATAAATCAGCAACGTAAACAACATACACATGTAAGTAGATACATACTACCTTTGACCAATTGTAAGTGTGCCGTATTAAATGTGCAAATAATTATGCATGTTCCGACTCGTTCACTTATTCAATGTTCCAAGCACTGTTATACTTCGAACATTGATACGAATGACGATATCCTTAATATTAGGTAAATACAATTAAAAATCTGTAAGTATAGCTGTGCGATCCGACAGAAATTAATTTCAAATCGATATATCTATACATATTATCGCGTTCTCCGATAATTCAATTCATATTCCTCACGATTCGTATAGTTGAAAAGTCCGAAATTACCTGCGAGCGAGCGTGCAAGCGAGCAAATTTAAGAAACAACGAAGCAGAGCAAGCATCGTTACGGCTTAGCACATGGTCTCCGAAGCTGGAGCAGGCACGGTACTTAAATTTTTGTCATTCGGGTCGGAATTCTCGGAATCCCGAATCGGCGGCCGAGAAAGCGTCTGTTCGATTTCACGCGTGACACTGATGGTAGGCGGTGGCCTCCGGGACGACTCTTCGTCAATGGCGGAGGCTCTGCGAAGCTGGTGCCTGTGTTCGTTTGATACGAAGAATGGCCCGCTGACGCCTCCAATGGCCTCGTCCGAGGCTGTGTGCACAGCTTCATCGTCGTTGTTGTCGTCGTCGTCGTTGTCGTCTCCGATGTACCTTCTCTGTATCAGATCTTCCATTTGCTGATAATCACACTCCTCGGCGTCCCGTAAATGTTCATTCTCGATTTGCCACGCCATCTCTGCATTCGACATTTCCGAGTGGTGTCTGACTCGAGACGGTGGCGGAGAAATTGGCGGCGTTCTGGGTGGGCTGAGAAGACCGCAATAACTTTCCAATTCGTCCGTTATACTTGTATATTCTGCACGCATAGCCAGTAGAATTGATCTCTGGGTACTGCTGGTCGACGATACCGATGGAATCACTGCAACGCGTGGTTCTGCCCAGGTGACGCCTCTGGCAATGCCGGATGAAGGAACTATCATTACGTCGTCCGACTCTGATCGTGTCCTGTTGCTATTCTGCCTCGCAGAACATTCCGTCGAGTCTTGTCTAACTGGCTCCGAAGCAGGCGCTTCGCTGCTTGCTTCTCTGCTCGGTTCCTTGCTGGTTGCGTCTCTGCTCGTTGCGTCCCTGCTTGTCTCTCTACTCAACTCCCTGCTTGTTTGTCTACTAGGATCCGAGCTTGGTTCTCTGCTACTAGCATCTATGCTTTGTCCTACACTCGGCTCCGCGCTAGGCTCCCTACTGTCAGACTGCGACGACTCTTTCTTCACTGTTTCCCCTTCGTCTTCTTCGCCTCCTCTTTTGCTCGCTTCAGTTTCTTGACTTGTTGTCGTCGTCTTCGCGTCGTCTTGAGCAGTCTGTCCCTCTCCGCTAAGAGAGGAGTCGTTCCCACTGAGGTTCTCGCGGGACGCAAACGTCTCCGAGTGTTTCGCCACCAGTAGTTCGTCGTCCAACGGCGGAGCAATATTGAGAAACGTACCGTCGGTCAGCGATCGTACGAGTCTCTTACGTTTCGCCGCTATTGTAGGTAGCTGCGTATGCGAGTCTGTTTCCGAGAGGACCTCTGAACGTTCAGACACTCTACGCTGACGGCCTTCTACGTCGAGACTGGATAACGTTTCCATGTTGGGCATGTGCGTCGCCATGAACCGGTGGATCACGCCTAGATGGGCCAGAGTCTGCTCGGTTAGCTCCTCCAGCTTACGAATTCGGAACTCCACTGCCTGTGACGGTAAACAAGATTTTCAGTACAATTATTAGTAGGATAGATATTCTCAGCATCCGGTTCGATGGATATTATTATAATTATTGTTAGAAATTTCACCTGAAGCGACGCGTTTTGCGTGTGCTCCTTCTTATCAATGTCCTCTATTTTCTGATGCATATTCTCCACCCTCTCGGTTGTTACTTTAACACGTTCCTCCGTGGACATTTGCAGTTTCAGCTCTTGCTCGCGAAAGTATCCCTCGACACAGTCCTCTTCAAAGTCGTATAGACGTTCCATGTCGTCGGCTTCTAGGAACAACTTAAGTCCGTTGTCGTATGTTTCACCAGTGCTGGCTTTCCCTTGAGTCACATATCGCAGCAAATACTTGACCAGCAGATATATGTGACAAACTACAATGAGCGGAGGAGGTAAAACTGGTTTCTGTTCGTACTCCATGACAACGGTAAAACGTTGGAACATCCATACTTGGTGCGCTACCGCGTTTACCTCGTTGAAAATATTATTAAATACCGCGATCAGAAGGTTTATCATCAGAATATTTGCGATTAAGAGATAAATTGACATTACAACGGGCGTGATCCAACGACCTGGAAGACACGGTATCATTCCTGGCTCGTCCCCGCAATCCGGATCAATGTTGTCTGCGTACACCTCTCCGTACAACATAAAGTATGGCTCCATAAATATCTGTGTTATCGAAAATGAAAGACCATTATAACAAAAAAAAACTCATTGATTTTCCAACTGGCGAATAGAATATTTACGGAAAATACATTACGTCTCGAATGATTTTTAATTTAGGTTCAGCGTTAGGATTCAAAATAGCCTGGCGCGTCACGCCGAAGCTCATTAACACGACCAACAACAGCACCACAAAGTATATCATGTTTTTCACCATCTTCCCCATCATGGTGACCAAAGGACCTGAAACACAACGACAGACGCGGTAAAGGCATATAATAAATACATCGTATGTAAATAGATATATGGTACATACATTGAGTATATGTATATGTATATGTATATGTATATGTATATGTATATGTATATGTAGTACAATACAGTATAGTAAAATACAACATGTATACGATATAATAATACAATATTTGTGAGTTATGGTTAAAAAATACAACGTACCAAAATACTTGTTTACGCCAAGTATGTTGAGTATCCGTAAGTACCAGTAAATACAGTCCACGCAATAGATCACGCGACCGACATCGAGGGTAGAATGTCTTAAGCGTAAGGCCAGGCCAATTTGAAAAAAAATGATGGAAGCTGCATCGCAGGGATTCCACATGTTCCACGCCCACACGCTAAATTTATGTGAAAGTGTGGCTGGTTCTGATGTAGCAATTTCACGTACCTTCTCGCATCCTAGCGTGCAAATGTACGCGATCGCATAAATCTCTGCCAACGATGGTTGGTGTTGCATATGTATGAGAATAGAATAAGAGAAGAGAACCAAAAAAATAACATACGCTATCTGAAAGACGAAAATACGTATACATTTCACGTTCGGCAATTCATCAAATTATGATATACGTATTTCAATAAAATTATATGATTAAAACAGGTCAAGAAACGAACCGCGTTTGCCCAAAATTTTGTGATTGGAGCCGTATAAAATTCATACAACTTCTTCCTTAGTCGCAATGGCCTGCTATTCTTAATATCGTAATAGTCGTTTTGAATACCATAAGCACGCTGAATACCGTCATCATTGTCATCTGTGAGTACTTTCCCATTCTCTTGGACTATCGTTTCTTTCGCTACAGCTGTGGTGTGCTCGTTGCTGATTAAAGCCTATACGAAGAAAGTAACAGTTCCTTCAGTTAAACATGGACAAACCTTGTGTTGGTTGTACAGGAGATTAATGCACAGATATAACGGGAGATTTTCAATTATCTGACACGTACTCATTTCTTTTGTACATACTATATTTACTATCTCTTGATCATTCTCGTGAATCATTTACAACTAGGATTTTGCCAACAAACCGATTAAAGGGGAGCAGTATGCTATATTAATGCATAGTATGCGAGAAACAAACAGTGAAACACAAATATTTCTGCAGTGTTACAGAATATGCTGGGAACTAAAATTAAATGGGAACACAACTAGAGACACATGGCAGACATAATTATGTGTGCCATGTGTATAAATATACGTGTAACTATCGTTATATCATGAATAATAGAAATTGTGTTATTTAGGATATAGAACAAAACAGAACAGAACAGAACAAAACAGAACACTAATGCATGGACATTTTGTGTTACGTATAATATGTGTAATAATGCGTATATGAGTAAGCATCGTGTCTAAGAAATAAACATACATATAATATAATATTTCTCTTTTCGGGAAACTGATACTCTTGAACGATTACTACTAAGGTACAGAAAAAGGTAGCAAACAATGTAGCAGATACAGATCCTGTCTCTACACGTAAAGGCAAAAACTTTAAGAAATTATGAGAATTAGGAGACTGAAATAAAAGAACAAGAAGAAGAAGAGGAAGAAGAAGAAGAAGAAGAAGAAGAAGAAGAAGAAGAAGAAGAAGAAGAAGAAGAAGAAGAAGTAACGATATACATATACATAAAATGCAATTCATGTTAAGAATTATGGACGCACAGAATATATATAGATAAATGTATATTGTTAGTGCGCTTTAGCATGTTACGCGAGGAAGACGATAGACATAAGTTTGAATTGGATAGACATAATTTTCAACAACATTGGACATACTATGTCCCATTTTCCTTTCAATTGACAATGATGTCTTAAACGTGAGTGTCTGAAATGCAAGGATGACCTGATAATAATACAACTGTTAATTTGAATTGGATAACTGATAACGGTTACATATACTATATCCGTATTGAAAAATATCAGCATACTAACTATGGCAACATACATATAAAGTTAACAGTGTACAATTAGCATTTCCCCATTACGTATTACTTCCGCATAAATTCGTCTTAACATCTCGATACTTATTCGAATGAAATTTCAATGTTACTACTTGGCTGACCAAAATAGATATACATACATATGTACATATAACATATAACGAGGGAATGCTTATAGACTTCAATGTTAATTGGACCATAGACATTAGGCTTGGAGAAACAATACCGATATTTTATCGACATCGAACGATTTCGAGAGACATTTATAATACAACACGATAGTTTTTTACGATGGTAGCGTTAGTTATCATCCTCACCGGTACGAATTCCGACACTGAATAAACAGAAGTTTTCCTTGATGATAACTAATAACAAAAGATAGATAGTTGAAAAGTGCACCGGAAAGTGTGAACTTATTGGTCATAGAGTCATTGCGTTTCAGGCCATTATAGATATACCTTAGCGCCTTGTTGGCTGCTGGATTTGTTGCGTACGCTCAGGCTCCTGCGCTGACGTTTCTAAAAAACAATTCATACGCATACCCACATACATAGTCTATGAATTATAAAACACACTTCAATACCTCTAATATCGATAGATACGTTACAAGATTTTTAACTCTTTTTCAAATATGTAATACCATTATACTCGATAAATTACGAATACTACACCCTTCAAGCACATTATACATATGTATAAAGAATTGAAATAAAAGAATAAAACTGCACGTCATACCAATAGCAGTTAATGTCATACACATTTTGAACTTTATTTAGAGTGCTCAAAAGGTTTAATGTCGTGAATAGAACCTACATGCGTATACGTATCCATATAATTCATCACACAACAATTCAAAACCAGCAACCATATGCATCCGCCTCTTGCTAGTAGAATGTTACACATATATATATATATATCCGAACCACCTTCTATTAACAATTACAGGACCAAGTACTCTTTACCTTCCATTTCATCTTGTAATCTATATGCTTTAAAAATAAATTAATAATTGCAGCATGAAATAAATGAGCAATGAATTATCACAAAAGCAATGACACGTTGCATCGACTGATACTCGTTATTCTAGTATACATATGAATACTCTACGCTGTTACTAGAATTTCTTCGTGAATCGAGAACTCTGAATACGTATGTCATAGATGCTTATTTGTTCGAAGAAAAAGTAATTCTCTAATTAATTTAACATAAAATTCAATTGGATTAAGAGACAAGAATTACCTCGACATCCGGACCGGTTGGCATGCCGTGCTCAGAATCGCTGTCTTCTTTTTCATCTTCGAGGGCAATCAAATGTTCTTCTTGAGTCTGCGGCATCAGTTGTAACTCTTCGCGACTTTTGAATTCCAAACGGGTTATGTACAAGGGACAAAGCAGACCGAGAACAACCTGACACCCCGATCAAAACCAGTTAGTAGATACAAAGGAACCTGTTATTATTTCTTCTAACTAATAACGTGTATGTTGATTACCTTTAAATTTGTATTTTTCCTTGTTCGAAGACCACCCATCCACAAATCAGCTAAAATAATTTGACTGCAGGGATGTGCCAACAGAGGACGATGATTCGCTGTAACAGCTAGGGAGAGACAGGTTTGACCAGACCAATTTTGAAGTTCGGAAGTTAGGAGCTGTTGTGTTTGATCATCATCCTGGCGATAACAATAGTCCAACAATTCCAACGCTGTGAACGAGAGCATAGTTAAATATTCATGTGAAGCTGTCCTTTTGCGATCCTATTCTAAGTTGCCTATGCTACATAGGCTTTCTCCACTAAAAGTACATTCTTACCAATATTTTCAAATTCCTTTCCGTAACTTCGTAATTCCTCGTAGATTTCGGTTTCAAGATCATCCTCAGCAGCTTCATGGGCCATAGCCTTGTACAGCTTAAGGGCGACAAGCGCTTTTGCTAATGCCTCTTCTCCATGCTGCCACATCAGTAACGCCATTTGTTGACGTTTCGTTAATACGGCCCAAATAAGCAGTTCATTGAAGGGATAATCGAAGAAAGGAGTATCACGATTCGCTGGCAAAGTTTCTGCGAGCAGACTTATCGTTGAGTTTTCCTGTTTACTACCAGAGCCTGAATAATATCGATTAACACTACCCCACGCACAACTGTTCCGGTGCATGTGTTGCTGATGTACACCCGATCTCTTCATCACTTTGGTATAGATCACTCGGAACCTTCTGCGAGTGTACTGGGAACGATACGCTCCACCCATTAATTTGTTTATCACCAAGCCAATATCGTGCAACGTGTACATATAACCGCGTGGAATATTCGGTCTTACATCGCGCAGAATATAGCCCAATGTATTTGAAGGGCCTTCTTTCTAAATGAGAAAATTTTGCAGATTATCTTCCGGTGTTGTGTAAAACTAAAGGATTACACTACACATAATTACGCACGATTACAATACGCACTATACGTATAGCCGCTGCTATACGTATATGCGTTTCTTTCTCCTTTGGCTCTTTCTCTAGCGTGAAAAAAATGAACGAAAAAAAAAAAACAGAAAAGAAAGCAAGAAAAATCTTAAAACTTACGGTATTGTATAGTTCTTCGATACGAGGTATGGACAAGAATTTTCGCATGGAGACACCGTTCTCCAGAAGGAGCTTCACGAAGTCAATCCTATCATGCTGCAGAGCCTGCATCATTGCCTGTTCCAGCGCACCTGTCGGCCATTTCTGACCGTAAACGAATATTTCACTGCGTGCTATATCTACTCTATTCCAGATTAATGATAAAGACAACTGTTCAGCTGGAGACAGTTGTTTGGATTTGAACAAAGCTGTCAGAATCGTTTGATCGAGCTCCTGGGGTCGATCCTGAGTTATCCTGAACACTGTTATCTGTAAACAGATTGTCGATTAAATAGAGAGAAAGGCACGGAGAATTTTAAAGGAAGTTATATCAATGAACTTACCAAATGCTTTTTACGTGTACACTGTAAAAGTTCCAAATACAATTGGCACGCCTGTTCAGCAGAAACTTTAAAAGTGCGCTTGATTGTATCCAAAAGGTGTTCTCTCATACTTTCTAATGGTCCCTCGTTTTCTCCACTCTCGCCATCTCCCTCGGACGCGTACCTAAATGTTTGTTTCGACATTTACACTTTGTCGATTAAAAATGGAGATGTTTAAGAAGCAATTCAATTTATACTTGTGCATAAAAGCGATCAGATCAGCTGCACGGCCCGAGCCGTCGCAAACTACCACAGGGACCGGAGGATCGTCTGTGACATACTCTAAAACTGAACGTATCGTGTTCGTTCCTCCTTCGATGACCAGCGCAACAACAGGGATACTGCTATGCGTATCTGTAATACAACGTTTCTAACAGTTTCTTCGAACATGCATTGGTACTAATCGGGGGAACAGTGTAATAGTTACATGGCTGCAGTTTCAAATTGGAAATATATTTTTCTAGTTTCCTGCGCAATACAATTTCCGCGCCATATCGACCGCCGGTGCCGTTATCCACCAATAAAAAATACGCATGTCGATTATTTAGAACCGCATATTTGGACCTGAAGAGTTTTTGTAAATTATCATAGCTGCAATTAACGCCGCGTATAACAGATCAGTACTTATTAATAATTTATTATTCTCACCACGGAGACGAGAGACAGTCGTACGGTACTTCACCTCCGCGGCCCACAAGTTCATGGCTTTTGTCTAAAATTCCCCATGGTGCTACGCCTATGCTCACAACCCGCCCCTGTCTTTGAGACCTCTCTAAAAGTAGCGCATCACCCACTTGCCTTGTAACACCTGTGGAATTTTAATTATGATTTCATTGTCATCTGAAAGCTCGAGAAACAAGTAGGTAATAATGCGGGATTCGACCAACCTGTATTAGTTCCTCCAGTGAATATCCATGCACCGGTTGTTTTCGCAGCCTTTAATAAGCCTTTCCTCAAGACCTTCTTTAAACTAGACTGTAGTTCAAAATTAGAACGACCTCCATGTACAGTGATAAGTAACTTGGGTAATCCCAAGTATGATTGTATTATACTTGAATGCGATTGGTGTTTATCTGTTACCTGTGCTTTTGTTGGATGTGGTCCACCTTGAAACTCAATGGTACCATACGCATCGGTTGGAAACGGTCGCGTATTTTTACCGGGAGACCATTGCTCTCGATCCTTTTCTTTGGTATTACTAGCGGTATAGCTTTGAACGTCTGCACCAGTTCTGCAGTGATACGTATAAGAATACCCACAACAACATCTATAATGAACAATCATTAGTTAACTATTGCGCTTGTACTACCAGTCCAGATGTGTCTGGGTGCGAGTGAATACAAAGTTCTTGCTTTATCTTTTCATCACTTGGAGATATGTTGAAACGTACTACAGCTCAGGAGAAATTAACATATACTGCACAAGTAGAAGTACAAATGCTTTACCTAGAGTTATAATTGAATTTGGTCAAATGATGTTTAGCAATGTCTGCTGACGACAATCAATACATATTTACTATAAAGCATGATACCGCTACTATCGCCACGTTCTTTATTTTCCGATATAATATGGATCAACTGTGTAGTTCCATTGCATGATCAAAAGAATGATGGGTATGATCTCTAAGAGAACAAATCGGCGTCTTGTAAGAAGCAATAAACGAACGAAACTTAAATGTCGAAACAACATCTAATAAATACAATCATTTATATGAAGTAAATGGTATTTCTTTTTTATCTATAGGACCTTGGGGTTCGGTAACTTTTTTCTTTGTACAATCACTATTCCTGAAAATAGTATGCATATAACGTAACGATCTTTTTATTAACTATTCGAATATATATTTTGCAGAAGCAATATTATATAGTATCTTTTATAATATCTATTTAAACACAAAATTGTTAATCGCGACAACGCATTATAAACTCTCACCTGGAAGTGGTGATCACATCATACTCTGCATTCTTATCTCCCTGTACTTGGAAAAACCTATAAATGAAACGAAAGAAAGAAAAGTAAATGAAAAGGAAATGAACACAAGAAAATGTATTAGTGATGGCCTGAAACAATGCGTAAACAAACATATAATAATGTGTGCAGCTTTTGTAAAGAAATAAAACGGATTCAATGAAAAGTTAACATACAATTAAACTAAATAAGCAACTTTACAACTGTCGTAATTAAGCGTCCCATATTGCCTCTGCAAAAATACTGTCCCATTCGAGAGATAAGAAAATGTACATGTATTTACTTATTCATCTGTCACCGAACAAACAGTTGAATACAAATATTGAACAATGCAATGACGTTATTTCAAATTCAACAAAATGTGTAAAGGTTGATGATAATTAAAATGGATCATCTTATATAAGAAACTTTTGCAGATTTAAGAATATTTCTTCGCTATAGAGTGTCTATAGTTGATCTGTAGACACAACTTAACACTCTTGATACTGGGTAGGTAAGTGAATATATTATATACCTGTGCTCATCCTTAGCACTTGGAATAAATTTTGAACATTCCCTCTTCTGAAATGTTGCTTCTATCCAACTGCGTTCGGTTGCCTGTAACCAATACACCATAATTTTCTGTTTCCATTATTTCATGTAATATTTTCATTTTTGAAAATGGAAGTGAAACAAGGTATACCTTTGCCTTTTTTCTCTTTATTTTAGGAGTACTGGCTCCACATATAATACTTCCGATTGCCATCTTGATGTGTATTCACCTTAACATTAACCAATAATATACCAACTAAAAAAGAGGATTAAACAAAACAAAACAAAACAAAACAAGGATCAACAAGAAGGAAATTATAATGAAACATTGCATGTTGTGTATACTATGTAACACACGTGCATTCGTAAATAAATTGCAGTCTCTAGAACTGTATTGAAAATATCAAGAAACTTAACGATATCATCCTCTGATAATTCTCTTCGATGAATTAATCATTTACTACACATACTTCATTTAAAGTATAACAGAATCATAATACAATGAAACTTTAAACATAAAAGAATAAACAAAACTTATGGGTAACAGAGATAAGATAAACTGATTCAGATAAGGGAAATACACTTTAATAATCTTGATTCATTTTCTCATTTTATATATACCCTTTGATAATTAGTTGTATTACTTACACTTTAGAGAAAAGGCAATGAGTATAATATTTTGAATACTTCTATACAAAATTAATATATTTCATGTACTCTTGGTACTCACCCCTCGGCAACTCTTATTTTTGTCTATCATATCTACATAGAACTGCATGAATAATATCAATATGTATTTTGTGCCCACTGAAATGAATAGTCAAGGTTCCAATGTAGTTTATAATAAGCAGTATCAGTAACAAAAGTAACCGGCAAAACTTATATAAAATGTATCTGAAAAGAATCAATAGAAACATTAAATACAATATCAAGAAAGGGGTTTATAACAAAAACGGTCGTTGTGACAGAATGGAAAATTCGAAAATACAGTATTTACATGGGAGTCCTTCACGAGGTATTGCTAAATTTTCTGTAATTTTAATAACAGAATGAACAAAGATCGTTCCTATCATAAACCCATCAGTTAGTTGGTTAATATGTACGATGTTTGTTAAATCACCTGGAACGGGTGATCACGTCTCGTTTGGAATTTCTAACTAGTCGTTCAAAAAATTCTTACAGCTTCCCTGGAACCAATAACACTTCAAATTTGAATTTCAGACTGGCGAAAAATCAACGATTATGCAACGTTCGAGCCAACATCGGGATCGTGATGTTTCGAAAATCGGCGGGAAAGTTGATGATCTGTCATGTGCCTGTGAGTTAACCTGGAAATATAATATCATTAACTTTCAACGGAAAATGTTAAACGTTCACCATACAAATATAAAATGACGCACGGACAAATTATTGTCGCGACTGAAATATTTAAATCCTTTAGTATAGACACGCAAGGGTGACGCGTATGCGTACGTACCTTAACGCCTTAAACAGTACGCGATCTGAGATTTTCAAGTAATCGTATTCATCGCGCGTGAAATAACACGCACGCAGGGAAAGAAGCACGGTTGTGTTGGTTCGTGATGTTTCGCAACAGTTCTTATAATTCATAACACTCTTTTTTTACGTCACGTAGTTAACGTTACTGGATATTCATATACTTATATACATATGTATGTATGTATAATGGTATGTATATATATATATATATATTATATATATATACACGTATATGACACGTAATATACGATATGAAGTGTTTGAATTTTTGCGTCGTCGGTGGACGTTTCCTCGTTTAACTGGGTTTATGAGTGCAAAACAATTTTGATAAGACTCACGGGGCAAAACGTATACAGTACGTATCATCCCTTGGAAATATTGAGCTTGCTCCCCTGCATCGTTACTGACAAACTAGGCCAAGAACAAGGTTAACTTCGACATTGACTCGAAGACACATATCGGCGGTAGTGTCAACTGCGATGATGTTCAAATCAATTCGAAAAGCTCGTGATTTCCACGAAAATGAATTTTAATAAACGCACTAAAGTATTAGCTGCCGCACCTGTTTGTATGCGATCTATTATATTATAATATAGTTGTTTTAATTATAAATCGACTTGGAAATAAAAGTGTTTATTAAATCGACCTCGATACTTGTTACTGTTATATCGCTATCGCGAACCTGCATGTGTTCGGCATAGCGCGTAAAATTTAAATCACAACATATCTATTCTGTTTGCTACTATCTACAATTTCACGATTATCCATTATGTATGTCAATTATATATATAATAATTACATATATATATCTAAACGTAAATTCGAAAGTTTATATGCGTCTGCATGCACATAGTTAAAAGTTGAAATTACTTGGACAGATTATTTCGAAACGCAATGACAACGAATCGTGTACGTTTTTGAGTTCATTAGAAAATTTGTTCTAATCTTCTGCTCAAGATACCCAATTATTACAAAAATCAACTCGAATATTTATAGACTATAGTAAATTTACAAATCTAAGGTGTGTAAGAAATCGTACAATACAGAGAAAATGAAAGCTTTTATTCTGGTTTTTCGGGGCACGACACTTTCGGTTTATTAGACGATTCTGATTCGGATTTAATGGCTCTATTCGACCTAAGTACTGCGCCTGGACTAGGATACGGTCTCATTTGATAAAGTGGTCCCGAGGCCGTTGTGTCGGCTCCCGTTTTAGCTTCATTATGCCTCGCTAGACCATCAGACCATTTACCCCTGTAAGTAAACAATTAAGGACTGGATAACAATATCCGAACAAAACGCATATCGTCCTTGTATAAATAAATTATATGTAAAGTAACTAGATCCGTTACCGTGGAATATCACTGTAAGATGCTGGATCCATGGGATCCAGAGTGCGGTCTTTTTTGTCCTTGTTATCAGATCTATCCAATCTTTGATTTCTTTTGTTATCTCCTGGTTTGTATTTTGTTCTGTTTTCAACTTTTCTGTCTTTCTTTACTTCTGGTTCATCCACCTAAATTAAGATTCTGTTAGATAAAATTTCTACCAAGTATTTTTTCATTTACAACATTAATAATTACAATGAATTACTAACTTCTGCTTGTTCTTGGTCACTACCGCTATCATCACTGGACAAATTGTCATCCTGTTCGGCTGCTTTAAGATGCAGTTCCTCCCTTAACTGAGAAGCTGGCTGGGATATCTGGCATTTTGGATGACTAGGTGGTAACCAAGCCACTAAATCCGACGACCAATCCCAATAATAATGTTGACCACTGTTAACACATTGTAAAGATTCTTTTTCCAAGTAGGAGAACAATAGTACTTATGCGGTATTTAGAGATGAATAATTACCAGCCTGGATCATAAACAGCTTTCCATGTCTCTGGTAAAGAATATTTTTGTATTAATCGCATTTGCTTCTTCAAGTATTTGTCAGAGGGTTGCACGTGTCCAAGTCCCCAGAGATCTTTACACTTTTTTGTGCAATCATGGTAAATATTGTATTTGTTGGGGCAACCGCTGTATCCCTAGAATAAAAATTGAAAGATTAGCTGAATTATAAATTTGAATATTATTTATAAACATTAACTCTCGCACTACCAAGCCTGTTTTTATTACGTGTACTGCCAAGGGGTGGAGAAGAGGATACTCCGAGTCCACTTATTTAATAAAAACTTATGATTTATCGCAAAGGGTTAATGTAATACTTGCCATGAATTTTTGGGATATATCAATTTGACTAATATCCTCCTTTGCGTTGTCATAGTCTTCGGCAATTACTTCTTCGTGGACTCTTTTTTTTGCTTCTTTCTTTGTCGTTTCTATTTAAGAGAGAATGCAACCCCGATTAAGGTTATGTTATTAATTAAAAAAAACATTCATTGGGTTTGGACCATTAGAATGTGTGGCAAAATGAAGAAAAAAAAAAAGAACAACAGTATGATTATGAACAGTATTGCTGCATAACAAATTATATGAAATATATTATGCAAGTTTTATAATCTTGAATACCGTGTTTCTCTGATCCAGAAATGAGTCCTCTTTTCGCAAGTCGCGCGGCCAAAGCAGCTGGAAGTGGCATTTCGTCTCTTTAATAATATATTACGCTTCGTTCTTCATATATCTAATTGTAAAGATGCTTGTATAACACACTATCGGAATCATTTACAATTTACATTGTACTCGTAATAATTTGAATAGACGTACTGTTTATTGTTTGACCGAATACAACCGAATACGACACGAACTCTGACACCTCTGACGTTTTCGACGAAAGCGCCAAATACGAATAAACGTTGAATACACGCTCCTGATCCGAATATTATTCGAATAAAATTACGACCGTCGTACACAACAGAGAACAAAGGTAAAAATGGTTGCGCAATTTTTTGTAATTACGCATACTTGCAGGAAATGTCAGAAGTAACGGCGGTGAACGGGCACAGATAGGAATGAGGATGTGTAGGTACATATTATTCAAGTTCTCTATTAAGATAGAATGTGCGATGAGATCGATTATAAAAGAAAATGTTTAAACTAACAGCATTTAACCTGGAACGTCTTTAAATATGAATTAAAAGAGTATATCATCTACAGTGATATATTCTATACATACATATGTATATGTATATGGAAAGAGAGCGAGGAATATGTGCATACATATATGCATAGAGTATAGAGGATGATCCAGCGACATCCGTGAAATGTAGTGAAATTCCATAGACGACACTCGATGACAGTAATCGTTCATAATATATTTACAAGAGCAGTACAAAGAATAACGCGATATTACACGTACATATTTCGTTACGTATACTAACAAGTAATTGGTAAGCAGAGGTGAACAGTTTAATCGTTAATCGAGGCACGTGACAATAAGGCAATTCTACAGAGGACAGATACGATCGTATACATATAAGATATTGATTCTTCGATCCTGTTTACCATCATCTTCTTACATAATTTGTTTGAATTTTTAAAATCGTAACAAATTTTGGGAAAAAAATCATGAGAATCATTATCGACTTTTGTGTATACAGCCTGTCTGATTTATCACGACGATACAAACATACACATACATACAATATATGGTCGCGTAAACGTTACATAAATTTTCAAAATATCCCGTTTGTCGATACTTGTTCGGAGTGAAAAGAATAAAGAATGAACATTGAAACTGATTAAAATAGAAACATGCGGTATCGAAAAAAGATTTGGCCGACGATCACGATCGAGTACACAGAATTTCGGTGCTTCTCGTTGATCTCACATGTTTACAATCGTATAAATTACATTTTAGTGGACGTCACAATGAAAGTCGTGTTAATACTTGGTGCAAAGATGCGTGTATCGGCTCTCTGTGTGTGTCCCATTACACCGGACGATTACAAATTGCAATATATGTATATGTATACATACAACGATTCTTTTTGTTCGGTATATGCGATTCCGTATGCGATGCGCTGGTGCGTGTGCGAATGAACAATGCATACATGGTCAAAGTTGCACGGTGAACGCGGATTATCATCTTGGATACTCGAGTCAACGATTTTCCGATTACACGATCTTCGAGTCCCCGACATTATGGACAAAAAGAGAGGGGCGGGTAAAGTTTCGATTATTTGTTAACTTTTATGCTCTATCGTGGGTAAGTATATCTCTCGGTTAAATCAAGAAGACAGATAATGATCCGATTGTGCACGACCCGGCGTGGCGGTGCGATTTGCCACCAAAGAATAATTATGCACAGGTATGTACACTGCCGACGATTCGAAAGATCGAACAAATCTAGAAATATTAAGAATCGTATGTAATCGTTGTCACGCTATACCAACCAGTCTACGGTCTTTTGAATCTTGTGGTCGGCAGTACGCGTAGAAACCCAGAAGTTAATAAGCCGGCTGCTAATAAACTAATACATGTATAAGAATTATTGTGCAATTTGTAAAGTACAAGATGAGATTCGAGGATATACGTTCTCTTTTCGGCAGAATCGGAAACATCGAACAACAAATATCAATAACGTTGATATGCAGTGTATCGAGTTGTTCGAAAAATGCAAGAATGGATGAATGGGATGATGTACATGTACATACATACATATGTGACTAACGGAACACGCGGCGACATGTTCACTTCACAGAACGTACAAAAGTGCTCAGCTAACGGCGGCAACGGCCACAAACAAACACATACTATACATATGCGTATTTATGTATGTATGTATAACATATGTGTAGTTCACATATTCGAACGTGTGCGAATAATTCCACCTTTATCTGCAGGAACATCAATCTTCTACCGAAGAAGAACGACAACGACGCGGCATCAAGCGTTAAAGGAAACATTAATTTGCTGTTATGAGTAAATTATTGTTCATCGAAAATTCGTATCTTTTCGTTTCGTTTCGTTCATCTTACGGCTTATGGCGGAAAATGTAAGCGGGTAAAATTTGAACACGTTCAATATGGCAATGGAGACACACAGTTGATACAACATTTTCGGTATTCGTTCCAACCGTACGCATTATTTCCGACCCGATCGCCACATACGAAATGTCCGTTTCCCTTGTCGTATTAACTCCAAATAGATTACACGAGCAAAACGACATTAGTAACAAGAAGCGAAATCAATGGAACAATTTCCTTGTTGTTTGGTAAGTTCCGATAAAGTGAGATCTGGAAACGCGATACTTTGCATAAATGTCCGCACTCTAATTATAAACGCTTAAGTACAACAACAACAAGAACAACAATAACAACAACAACAACAACAACAACAACAACAACGTGGGTTTACACAAGTCGGGATATAGACTGCGGATGGTTATGCAAAGCACCGTAAAAGAAAAACTTGGATTTCTGCAGAGTCAATTTATAAGAATGTAAAATAAGTTCGAAGCAGTTTGCATTACAGGGGAACAGCCGGTATCGAGGGTGTTAATATCGTACAATGATCGTGAAACAGACATTCCACGCGTGACAACGAAATATAATATATGGACGAAAACAACGGGACAGAGAGGTGATGGTGTAATGTACGTTAGTTGTTAGAGGGAAGGAATGGGACCGTTTAAGGTAACGCACATACCTCCACAGGCATCGTATCCGGTACCGAAGAGACTCGATTTCGAGTCAAAAATGTTCCAACTAACCACTTCTCGAGGTAACCACCGTTCAACAGTCAATAGATAGAAAAATAGTTGAGGTTTCGTCTTTGTACACCAAGATTGTATAATAGATTTCTCGCGCCTTAGAAGACCGGAAGTGACGGTAATATGCACGCATATGTATACTGTATGTATACGACACTACACCACAACACCACGACACCACGAATTCGTTCGGCAAACACGATGAGCTTCTTTCCTCGAATCAAATTCATTTGAAGCGATAAAAAAAGCTCGTTTCACCGTTTTGTCTGTAACTCGTCGCAATCTTACTTTATACATATAGTCTACCAACAAATCTAAAGAAAATCATCGAAATGCAAGTACAAAGCTGCAAGAAAGAAATTTGTGCAAATAATCGGCAAGTCTCTTACGGACAAACGGTCAAAAATACAACATATGTACGTTACAAATTATCTATCGATGTTTGTAGTTTTCGCAACAAGCTCGATGGACGAGATTTATGTAGGTGTTGGAATAGCACTTGACAAGCACGCGTGAACCTTAACGGCTAATTACATTTTATACAAATTTCCTACAAACAAGATATATATTAATAAAGATTACTCCGATTTCTATTAATGGTATCGTGGTAATGAAAGATATTTGCGACGCGTTACTTTCGCTGCTATTTTCGAAAGGGATTCGCGCGTGCCCGAGTGACAGAGTAAATGAAATACTGCCAAATATAAAAACCAAGTAAAATGTATTCTATGGGAAACATCATATGATATCATTATGCTGATACACTGAAATATAAACCACGATGCGTGTTTACACAATGTTCCGTATGTCTCTCTCTCTCTCTCTCTCTCTCTCTCTCACTCTCTGTGCGCGCGCGCGCGCGTGTTACCACTAATAAAACTGTGTCGATTACCACTAAAACTCTGTCGACCATCCTACTGATCGAATTGATAGGCGGTAAAACGACACGCGCGTCTGTTCGTCGTGATTAGTAATCATAATTAATAATGAACAAAAAGAGAAAAGTAAGAAATCGTAGTAGCAGAAGTACCGGTAATAGTAATGGTAGTATTAGTAGTAGTATTAGTAGTACTAGTACTAGTAGCAGTAGTAGCAATGGTAACAGTAGTAGTTGTAGTAGTAGTAGTGGTAGCGGTAGCAATTTGAATAAAAGTGGTGTGGTGGTGGTAATAGCGAGACATGGTAGTAGTAATGCTAATGATCACGATCACGATGACGTTGAGGTACGACGATAACGTCGATGATTATAGCGTATCGATAATAATATACATGTATAGAATATTTAACAATGATCGGATATGTCGAGCACCAAAGAAGTACGTATCTACCAACGAGACACGCTGGAATCGGCCGGTTGCGGATACTTTTGACAAAAAATCGTGTACGCGCCAAGGAATTCATTTCGCGTAATGATAATGAATATTCGGAGAGAAAAAGAAATACCTGGCTCCATTAATATTCCTGAGTATTTAAAGAGTTGTGTTTAAAGTTCGTTTTCAACTCATTCAACTATTATTCCGAGACTCTCGGAACTTTCTTCAGAATTTGAGGAATGATCGTAGGAGGCTTGGATCGGATCGGATCGGAGAAATTAATTAAAAATATACATACATATGTATATGTATATCTACTTCGTTAGACAATACGAATAATAGTTTGAATCAATAGGAATTTATGTTTCTCTTGAAAAATACAGCTCGTGAAAACCAAGCCACCGAGCCAAGACCCCTCGCGAAGTACTCGCAAATGGCCGATTTCGCGCGAGACAAATCGTTATTTATCACTCATTGCCAGCCGCAACTGCTATCGTATCGCCTTTTTTATCGAGACGCGTGAATTGAGGAACAAAGGGCGATCTAAAATCTAAAGTCTACAGGATATACCTTTTTCGACACAAGCGAATCGCTCGATCTTTTCATAGTCCTGGTAACCGAACAGGATCGCAGCAACATTAATTGCCATTCAACGAAACAAATTAACCGAATTTTCCGTAGCTACTCTGTAAATCGATGATCTTGAAAAGGAAATGGCTTAGAATAAGGAGAAACGAAAAACGAAGGAAAA